GAATGTATTGCCAGAATCTTCATGTTCTTCTGCAATTTTTGTTGGGTGGTCTGAACATCTGGATTTTTTAAAAAAAGAACCAAATGGCATTGTTGTGTTTCAATAAGTTTTGTGTAAATTGTGCTTGATTATGCTGAATGTTTTTTTATGGTGTTACAGATCTGGCAAGCAAGAGGTAAATTATCTAAGTGGCCCAGATGGAGTGCCTGCCACTTTATCAAATTAAATGGTTGGACAGACCATATTAGCAAAGTTATGTGCCATTGTGTTCCCATTGTTCTCCCTCTTCCGCCAAACTAGAAAATATATGTACCAATTCCTGGATTCTAGATAGAGCCTTAAGGCCTGGGACTCTGTGGACACACATTTATGTGCACAGCTCCTGCCAGATCAAAACTTCAAAAATAAGTGGAAATACGGGACTGTGGTATCCTCTGTTGCTCAGCCTGCAGGGTGATGTGGAATTAGAAGCTGGCTACATTTGGCAAGCGTGCCACATCCTGATAGCCTACAGTTTATTTTTGATAGGGTTGTTTTAGCTGATGTTTCCATCTTGGTTCCACAACGCAATAAAGCCATCTCCTAATAAGAGAGACATCTTAATATGAATGCAGTGTTTCCCAAGGGATATTCAGGAAGCCAGCTTTTGCAAACACAGTCATTTGTAAAATGTATTGAACTGTACTAGTTTTGGTCCAGTTGGGAACTTTGTGATCCTTTTTTTCCCCTTTTAAATGTTACAACTGATCTTTATTGTTTGCCCTAAGGACAGACTGTTCCTGGATTGGCTGCCCCCAGTGTGCAATTGAAGTCAGCATTTAACTGCTGTGGTTGGCATAGAATGATAGAGTCATTTTGCCAGTGCTACTATTATAAGCCATTGAAAACACAAGTGAATGGGTTATCCTAGTTTCCCTGACGTCAGCGTGAGAGCAGGATAAAAAACGATCATCAGACGGTGCACCAATTGTCTGCACTGTGAGATTCGAGCAACTGTGCAAGTAAATGGGGATGTAGAGAAACCAATGCAGTTTCTGGGAATTCTTGTGCTGGTAAATATATTGTCTGCATTAGAAAGCACACAAAAAGCAAAAAGTATCTAGTTACTCTGGAAATGACAAGCTGTTGTTGTGTAAAGAAATGGACGCAGAGGATCATTTTATAGGAAAAAACCAACCAAACTGGTAATTGGAAAGTTAATGGAAACAAAGAAAATTTAAGTGTCTGGGTGTTAATGCTACTTTTTAAAATTTATATATTTAATCTATAGATTTGGGGGGGGGGGGGAAATTGACTTGCATTTACCAAAAAGCTCTTTGAAGTTTATATTAGCTTTAATTAGATTTAGACAGAATTCATTATTTTTAATGGCTTTTCATTAGTGAGCTGAAGTCATTATTTGGAATATACAGTAGCAAGTAGCAAAACAAGCTAATTTTTTGTTTCTAGTTAAAAGACAGTATATGTATTGAAGAAGGTATTATTAAAACTACAAGAGGAACCATTTTAGCCCAGGTAAAAAGGGCTAATGATTTTAGTTGAAGGTCTAAGCCAGTCTTTTCCCCCCGACTATATCGGTGGAAACTGTGTATTCTGCAACCAAAAAGCTGAGAAAGAGTTTAAAGTGAACTACAAATAAAAGAAATGACACATTGGGTTAGACAAATGTCCGCACTTTCTGTCTCCAGTTCAGTTACACCCATGAGGACTGAGGGTGCAGTGTGGGGGTATCTAGGTTTGCCAGCCCCCCCCCCCCCGGTGGGGGTAGGAGATACTCTGTTTCCAGCTGGTGTTTCCCATTACTGCTCTGAGCAGTGGCAGGAGAAAAATTACCTGTGGGTAATGGAATGATGTCAGAATCCAGAAGTGATGTCACATGTCTCTAGGATCTGGCCAAAGGTCTGTGGTAAATCTGTATAGTCCCCTGTAGGAGTTGCTGTAATCTCTGTATTTTACCATGGTGTTCTGGCCAATTTCTAGAGAGGTATAATATCACTTCTAAGTTTTCTCAGAAGTGATGTCATGCTGTCAGCTGGTGACCACCTTCCATTTCCTGTTGGCAATCCACCTTTCATTTCCTGTTGGCTTACACAACCAGGGAAATGCTGATTGCCACTTTGGGGTCAGGAAGCAATTTTTCTCTAGGCCAGTTTGGCCAGGGATCCTGAAGGTTTTTTGTCATCTTCTGGGTGTGGAACAGAGGTCACTGCTGGTGAGGAGGGGGAGGTATTTGTGAATTTCCTGCCTTGTGCAGGGGGTTGGACTAGATGACCCTGGAGGTCCTTGCCAATTCTATGATTCTATGATTCCATGTATCCCTTTTTTGAGTATTGCTTATTAGCTTGTTTGCTGGATCCTGCATCTGTTAACTGGCTGCAGATTATGATGGGAATAGTCATCTCTGTTGTTTGGGTATAGGCTCAGCTAATCCTAATGTACTACATCTGAAAATGAAGGTTCTAATGTAGGATAAATCTCTTTAAGGATGTTTTGATTCATCTAAATAGTGCTACACTACCAGTATATCTGGATCTGTGGTATTACATTGAAACAAATTGCATTGGCATTAAGAAAGGTGTTAAATTATTAAAATAGTTAGGGCTCATGTAAATGTAGCATTTCAGTGATGAACACCACGGATGTTGCATTTCACAAAATCTGCATTTTCCTGTAGATTTTTACTCTTAAGTAATATTACTTGCATGAATGGTGCTCCCAGGTCCTCTTGAATGATCACTTAACCTTCATACCTACTTTCCCTTATTTCCCAGTTCATGTTTTAAATTGTGCAGCTAGACTGAGACATCCTGTTCAGTACTCTGGAGACAGGACAACTGCAGAGATTTGTAACACCATCTGCCCATACTTTCTAGCTTGTCTGTGAGTAGGGCTCCAAAACTTCCAATTTCCCTGCTGTAGCTTACATATCAATTCTCTTGCTTTTCTCTCTAGAATTTTCCGCACTTCAATGTTCCCTGTTGCCAAAGATGGTTCATCTTTGGTCTTCTGTGCAGTCCCACATTGGGGGACTCCACACATGCAGGCCTGCCAAAGGAGAAAAATTTCTAGCTTCCTAGGAGTTAGAGAATAGAGAG